AAAAGCAAGTCGAGAACTCTCTCTGGGCTTTGGCCACAAGAGCCACGGCTACAAAAACCACCACTAAGATACTCATTACTCAGGATCAAGAGGCCCCTTTGGAAGCAGGTGGTTGTCACACGGCCTCATTTTGTACATACTGATAATTGCCAGGGCTAGGAGCTTTGCAATTAGCAACCAGTCTCCCCTTTCCAGCATGAGTCCTGTGAGAGAACCCAGCTCCGAAAAGTTCCCATCCTTACAGAGCCTCCCTCATCTCCGCGAACCTGGCAGAAATAGCCGCTCTGTCATCTGTTTCTTAACTCTTTCCCTGAAAGGGTAGCCAGCATCCTCCCTGTTCCTTCTTCTCTACACCACGACACAGTCTCCTTGACGAGCTAAAGCGTCTACAAAGCAGAGAAAACTATCTTCAGCAAAGGGCAGTTTTTAAGGTAGAAAAAAAGGCTGTTCTAGGAAGTCTCTGACCACATACCATTGCAATATATGAAGTTACCTAGAGTTCTGAGATTAATAGTACAACGTTCAGCCCACTGAGACTGTGGCCAGACAGTGTTAGATTGCTGGATTTAATGATGCCCACTGAGGAGACACATAAGAGGAGCAAGAGTCCTTGTGCCCTTGGATTTCCTCCTGGACATGTGACCAGTGTCACAACCAAAGTAAAGATGGGTGGCCTAGAGCAGAGACTTTCGCACTTTGTGGTAACCCACCTTCTTGATGGTTTTATTGATTTACTTGAAAAATGCCTTTATTTCTGACTTTCTTTGTTCTGCTACTATGAAACTATTGCAGTATTAGATCATGGAATTTGGAGTAACCTAAATCTGTATTCCCAAGTTATGTTCACTCACACTGGGTTGCTAAATAAAAAACTATCCCTTCTTTCCTCAGATATGATCTCTCTCTCTCTCTCTCTCTCTCTCTCTCTCTCTCTCTCTGTGTGTGTGTGTGTGTGTGTGTGAGTGCATGAGCGCGGGCGCACACACACTCGTGTGCACTTAGCACTACAAGAGGCTGCAGCCTCCAGAAAGAAGGGCCATTGCTGAGGCAACCCAGAGAAAAACAGAGAGAACAAGACGGAAACAATCCCTTTCCTGACCCTGCCTCTTTTTAAATCATCCAGTCTCTCGAATCCAACAAAGACCCAGCTCTGAATGGAGACACTTGTTTCCGAAGCCTTAGCATCAGAGAACTGATTATATAAGTGTAGATGGAGAGCTTAAGTCAACTGGCAAATGGCATTTCCGGTTTAAACAATGATTTCCAGTGGCTTCAGCCTAAACTGTCCACTTTAGAATTCCCAGGGTACATCTGTCTCGTCTACTGGTTTAGCACCTGTTGGTTACCGCTCTTTTGATGCACTGCTTTGGTCAGTGCTGTGGCAGAGCAATTCTCTGACTGAGACATCCTTCTTGCAGTTATTAGGTGGAGTCTGTACAGAGAAACATTCCCTGCCAACTATTTGGTTGATTTGAATTACAGTTCATGCAGGAAAAGACGGGAGAAACTTGGTTATTGCTCTTAGCCAACTTCCAGAGTTGCCGACTTAGGAATAAAAGATGATCAATGTCTTAGTAACTATTGGTACTAGAAATCTGTAACATTTGTTCATATTTTTGATCTGATGTAGGCCATTATTCTCTTTTTATATTAAGGTTGGCTCATTTTAGGCTATTTAAGTGTCATGGCATTTTCAAGGCATTTTGTTTTGGTTTATTTTCTATAATTTTTTTTAGCTGTTCTGGATTTTTCTTGAAAAAAATATCATGCATGATCAACTTAATTCTGTCCCTTTCATTTGACTCTAAATCTCTCAGTTCTTCGGTGAAATTAGCAACTTATCTTGAACTTTCCCTGACTTGGGAAGATGCTAATAAACATCCTAATTGTCTGGTGTTGGGCTACTCTGGAAAAATGATCTTGAGATGCCCTCTCCATCGCTACAACAAAGCTACAGTTAATTAAAGAACTTAAAATTGTTTGATTCTAACCAAATTGGAGTTTATGTGCACTTCTTATATGGGGGAAAGGGAGAGACAATAGCAATAAAAAGTAACTATAGGATAATTATTTATTTTAAAATGCAAGCTAAGATTTTAATCATCTTGCATTGATTACCTTAAAATGGGTTTAATTTTGCTCCTACTGTTGAAATTACAGCAGTCATGTTAGCATGTGGAGAGCAATAAGAGAGAAAAATGTGGACCCCAAGATTCACTTTCCAGGGAAAGGAATTTTTCCTCCCAAATAGTTAGAACTGCTTTGATTTACATAAACACTGCTTTTTATTCTTTTAGAAATAGATAAACTGGCAGATAACAGCACCTCAAACCAAATGACCAGGGCAACTCTTGGGATGATGTTTTAGTCTCCTCCTCGGATACTGTGTGCTATTAATACCTCTCCAGTCCTTGCCTTCTTTCCGGCCATCAAAATTCAGCTACTGAAAAAATTTAGACTTTCTGGTTAACTGAACTGGGTGATTGATCAACATAATGTTTCTATTCTTTATGCATCCTCTTTCCTGTTCTTGCCAAAGAAATCATTCTAAAATTTGATTTATAGCACTTGATTAAAATCTTGCCACCATCATGGAAAGAACCCACATTTCTTAGCATGGTATATGATACCCGTCATCATCTGGCCTCAACTTATCTCCCATCTTCTTCCTCCTTACTGTCCCAGGCCCCTCAGGCCCCACACCTAATGCCCTGACTCTGGAACATTGGCAGAGAGCTCTCACGGTTTGCTTCACGGCCTCTGCGTTTCAGCAAGCTGCTCTCTCTCTCTCTCTCTCTCTCTCTCTCTCTCTCTCTCTCTCTCTCTCTCTCTTCAAATGGTTAGGGCCCACTCATTCTTCAAAAGCCAGTTCAGAGATCACCTCCATCTGAGATTCCCGTCACCCACTCTGGAAACTGACTAAGAGAAATAATCAAGTTTTCTCCAGCCTTTCCCTGCACAAATTTGTGATTCACATTGACCAAACAATTGTTGTTCTGGACAGACAGACTCGCAGTTGATCTTCTCTATACCCCAGTGTGTTAGGTGGCTTCTTAATGCCACGGGCAGAATTGTTATCACACTAATTCCTTGAGTGTGTGACATTTACTATCTCCCATAAGCATCTTCACGAAGTTGATCTTTGTGTGCGTGGTGTATGTGTGTGCTCATGTAGGTTTGTGCACATTTGTGCAAGTGGAGGTCAGAGGCCAACTTCTGGCGTCTTCCTAAATGTCCTGATCTTATTGAGAAAGGGCCTCTGACTGAACTTTGAGCTCATCAACTTGTCCAGGCTGACCACTGAGCTCTAGAGATTCTGTCTGTCTCTTCCCGCTTCCACCCAGGGCTGGGTTATATATGCGCAGGGGGTACCCAGCTTTCCCATGAGCACTGGGATCCAAACCCAGGTACTCATCATGTTTATATAGCAGGAACGTTATCGACCGAGCCACGTCCCTAGCTCCTCTCGTATTTATAGCTCCAGTGAATAGTTTCTGGTGGAATAAATGCATGACTGAACAGCAGTTCATCCATCCTCTCCAGTTGTACTACGCTATATACACTCCCAGCGTAACATAACCGAGCTCCCTGATGCTCCGCGTCCGCACCAGCCTTGGCATTGTCAGCCCTTTACATTCCGAGCACAGAGGTGGCTCTGTCATTGTAGCTTGCTGTAGCTTTAAAAAAGCCCTTAGTATGCTAATGGCTGGAGCTGTAAGGAAAACGTTTCTTCCTCATTCATTAACATTTCCTAAAACTGCAGATGCAGAGGTTTTTGCAGCCAAGCTTTTCCAGGTGCAGTAAGAAAACCAGGAGATGTGGCACAAGATGATGAACTATAGGTAAGACCTTAGAATCAGAACAAAAACCGATCTGATCCATAATTCTCAAATTTGGGGATTTATGTGAAAACTCACTGTGCATATTCAAATTACACATGCTGGGATTACGCTAGGGTAGCTGTTTGGAAGCTGGTCCTAATATCTGCATTTTAAAATAAACATCCTAAGTGATCTTGACATGGTCCACAGAATGAGAAATACTATTCAGAGAATAGTTTCATATTACAAATTAATTTAGGAGACCACCTATTTGGTCTGTCATCTGGTTAATGTGAAAACTCTCTCTTCTCCAACCTGTGGGCATAGGCAGCAGAATTTCACAAAACTGAAATTCAGACTGCTTGGCCAAGGTTAAGACAAAAAACAATGAATGAAGGTCTCTGATGGTGCTGCAAAAGCAAGTTCAATTAAGGAGAAGTTCCGTAGTGAAAAAGAACAGGCAGACTTTAGACTCGGCCGTTATCTTAGGCTAGGTCCTTCCTCTCCCCAGCTCTCAGCTTCTCACCTAAAAGCAGTACTATCTGGCCCTATCAGCCTTACAGAATCACACAAGGCTTACAGTGAGTGCGACAACGGCGGACAGGACGATCTGACCACAGACAGTTACACTTTATAATTATGGTTTCAAACGATACATCTGTCTAAATTAAAGATATATAGCCTCGGGAATTTGTTCTTAGGATAACCTCTGCAGCGTCCTATTCAAGAGTAATTAGGATTCTAATCACAGAACGCGGTCATAGTACAGCTTAGAAACACGTGTAAGGAGCATCTTGAGTAACAAAGATACAAAATTAATTTAGATAGAAGACCGGAATTGAAGAAGCTTATTATTACTCCAGATAATTTTCCCCGAACTTATTTAGTAGCTTTTCCTAATCTCTATTTATAATCCACAGGCCAAGGGATTCTGGTGTACACCCGAATTTGAGAACCACCGGTCTTTTTCGTTGGATGTGATAGTGGGAAGGAAATCGTTATTCTTTAATTGAGCTTATTGTGCAAACAACTCTATTATGGTATTATTTATATACCCTAGTCACCAATTCAAATTGTAGAACTCAGTAGTTCTTAATATAACAGTATGGCACTGGGGAAGCATCATCACTATCAATTACAGAGCATTTTCATCAACCCGCAAAAAGAAATCCCCGGACAGCGGAGAGCAGTTATACTCCATAGCAAGCGCTAATTAAAGTCCGTATAGACGAGCTTATTTGAGATTTTTTATAAAAGGGCATCATACAGTGTGTAGACTTTCGGGGCGAATTTCTCTCCTTCTATCTCCTTCCCGCCTCTGCAGGCGAACAGAGATCGGGAAACACAAGGACGAAACCCCCAACACGAAGGCTGCTCCCACAGAACTGTAAATCCCCATCCCTGCCTTCCAGGGTTACCCCTGCGTCCGCCTGGGGAGCTCGCCCCGCCCATCCCCGCCGTCGCCTCATTGACGTCACCGCTCCAGCCGCAGACTGCCTGCCTCCTTCCCCGTCGCGGTAGCTTTGACAGGGCGCGATGGCGGCGGCCGGGGCTGCAGGGTTGCCGGCGACCGTGTCGGAAAAGCAGGAGTTTTACCAGCTTCTGAAGAACCTGATCAACCCCAGCTGTATGGTGCGGAGGCAAGCCGAGGAAGTCTATGAGAATATCCCAGGTCTGGGTAAGACTACATTCCTCTTAGACGCCGTCCGTAATAGAAGAGCAGGTTATGAGGTGAGACAAATGGCTGCCGCACTGCTACGACGGCTTTTGTCCTCTGGGTTTGAGGAGGTCTATCCAAATCTGCCTTCTGAAGTGCAGAGGGATGTCAAGATTGAGCTGATACTGGCCGTTAAGTTAGAAACACATGCTAGCATGAGGAAAAAGCTTTGTGATATTTTTGCGGTGCTGGCCAGGAATTTGATAGATGAGGATGGCACTAACCATTGGCCAGAAGGTCTGAAATTCCTCATTGATTCGATTCACTCTAAAAATGTGGTTCTGTGGGAAGTTGCGCTTCACGTTTTCTGGCACTTTCCCGGGATTTTTGGGAACCAGGATCGTCACGATTTGGATATCATCAAGAGGTTGCTGGACCAGTGTATTCAAGATCAAGAGCATCCAGCAATCAGGACATTATCTGCTAGAGCTGCTGCTGCCTTTGTCCTTGCCAATGAAAACAATATTGCGCTTTTCAAAGACTTCGCAGACCTGCTTCCTGGCATCTTACAGGCTGTGAATGATTCCTGCTACCAGGATGATGACTCGGTGCTAGAGTCCCTTGTTGAGATTGCGGACACAGTGCCTAAGTATTTGGGTCCCTATTTAGAAGATACTCTGCAGTTGAGCCTGAAGTTATGCGGAGACTCTAGGCTTAGTAACCTGCAACGCCAGCTGGCTCTGGAAGTAATAGTGACCTTATCCGAGACGGCAACGCCGATGTTGAAAAAGCATACGAATATTATTGGACAGGCTGTGCCTCATATATTAGCGATGATGGTTGATCTGCAAGACGATGAGGACTGGGTAAATGCTGATGAGATGGAAGAAGATGATTTTGACAGCAATGCCGTTGCTGCCGAGAGTGCACTAGACAGACTGGCTTGTGGACTTGGTGGAAAAGTTGTTTTGCCCATGACCAAGGAGCATATCATGCAGATGCTTCAGAGCCCTGACTGGAAATGTCGCCATGCTGGATTAATGGCCTTATCGGCCATCGGAGAAGGTTGCCATCAGCAAATGGAACCAATTCTAGATGAAACCGTTAACTCCGTTTTGCTTTTTCTTCAGGATCCTCATCCAAGGGTGAGGGCTGCTGCCTGCACCACACTTGGACAGATGGCCACCGATTTTGCACCTAGCTTCCAAAAGAAATTCCATGAACTAGTGATTCCAGCTTTGCTGCGAACCATGGAAAATCAAGGTAATCAGCGCGTGCAGTCTCATGCAGCTTCTGCTCTTGTTATTTTTATTGAAGACTGCCCCAAGTCATTGCTAGTTCTGTATTTGGAAAATATGGTAAAAAGTCTCCATTCCATCTTGGTAATTAAACTGCAAGAGCTGATTCGGAACGGAACTAAGTTGGCCTTAGAACAGCTTGTGACAACCATTGCCTCAGTTGCAGATGCAATAGAAGAAAGCTTCGTGCCGTATTATGATTTATTTATGCCCTCCCTCACACACGTTGTTGAGCTCGCGGTTCAGAAGGAACTCAAGCTTCTCCGAGGAAAAACTATTGAGTGCATCAGCCATGTGGGTCTTGCCGTGGGGAAGGAAAAATTCCTGCAGGACGCATCGGATGTGATGCAGTTACTGCTGAAGACACAGTCAGACTTAAATGCTACGGAAGACGACGACCCTCAGACCTCCTACATGGTGTCAGCCTGGGCTCGAATGTGTAAAATTCTTGGGAAAGACTTTGAGCAGTATCTTCCCCTGGTGATCGAGCCCCTTATTAAGACTGCCTCGGCTAAACCTGATGTCGCTCTCCTGGATACCCAAGATGTGGAGAACATGAGTGATGATGACGGCTGGCAGTTTGTAAATCTTGGGGACCAGCAAAGCTTCGGAATTAAGACCTCAGGACTCGAGGCAAAAGCAACTGCTTGCCAGATGTTGGTTTACTATGCTAAGGAGTTAAGAGAAGGGTTTGTGGAATATACGGAACAGGTTGTGAAGCTGATGGTTCCTTTGCTGAAGTTTTATTTTCATGACAATGTTCGGGTGGCGGCAGCAGAAGCCATGCCCTTCCTCCTGGAATGTGCAAGGATCCGGGGCTCGGAGTACCTTTCTCAGATGTGGCAGTTGATTTGTGACCCCTTAATCAAGGCCATTGGAACTGAACCTGACACAGATGTACTCTCAGAAATAATGAACTCTTTTGCAAAGTCCATCGAGGTGATGGGAGACGGTTGTCTTAATGATGAACACTTGGAGGAGCTGGGAGGCATTTTGAAGGCAAAGCTCGAGGGGCACTTTAAGAACCAGGAGTTGCGGCAGGTGAAAAGGCAGGAAGAGAATTACGACCAGCAGGTCGAGATGTCGCTTCAGGATGAGGACGAGTGTGACGTGTATATCCTGACCAAAGTGTCGGATATCCTGCACTCACTTTTTAGCACTTACAGGGAGAAGATTCTGCCGTGGTTTGAGCAGCTCCTTCCGTTGATTGTGAATCTCATTTGTTCAAGTCGGCCGTGGCCAGACAGACAGTGGGGACTGTGCATATTCGATGACATCATCGAGCACTGCAGCCCAACCTCGTTCAAATACGTGGAGTATTTTCGGTGGCCAATGCTGCTCAATATGCGAGATACCAACCCCGAAGTCAGGCAAGCTGCCGCCTATGGATTGGGTGTGATGGCACAGTTCGGTGGAGACGATTATCGTTCTTTATGTTCAGAAGCTGTTCCGCTGTTGGTAAAGGTCATTAAGTGTGCAAATTCCAAAACCAAAAAAAATGTCATTGCCACCGAGAACTGTATCTCGGCAATAGGGAAGATTATGAAGTTCAAGCCCAACTGTGTAAACGTAGACGAGGTTCTCCCACACTGGCTGTCATGGCTTCCGCTGCATGAAGATAAAGAGGAAGCTATTCAGACTTTGAATTTTCTTTGTGACCTGATTGAAAGTAACCACCCGGTTGTGGTTGGTCCCAATAATTCCAATCTTCCCAAAATCATCAGTATAATTGCAGAAGGGAAAATTAATGAGACTATTAGCCATGAAGACCCCTGTGCCAAACGCCTAGCTAACGTTGTTCGGCAGATACAGACTTGTGAAGAATTATGGCTGCAATGTATATCCCATCTCGATGAAGACCAGCAGGAAGCTTTACAAGAACTGCTCAATTCTGCTTGAAGCACTTTACTGTCACTTGAGTATCAGCTATCATACAAGTAACTACAAAGTGTTGTGAGTGAGCCGTGACACGAGAGATACCACTTCTCTCTGCTAAGCAGTTCATACTTCCGTGTCTCCCCAGGATAGTGTTAAGGTCTTCTGTTTATTTTGCATGTGGCATCTCTTAAAGGAACTGTGCTTGTAACTCGTGCTTCCGGTTGTCTTAAACTTATTTGTCAGGTCCCCTGTTTAGTGTGAAATGTATAACTCATTGCCGTTTGTCTGAACTGTTGCTGCTGGGTAAATGGTATACGCGGTGCCAAGATGTCTGTGACATCTTGTAAAGTGCTCACGAAGGAAGGGAAACTTCCGGGGTGAGCATCTGTGGAGTTGAGGGTAGGGTACGTTGGCAGACTCACTCTTCCTTGGTAATACTTCTGTTCGTTATGGTAATGGAAGGTTGCTAGAACGGGAAGAGTTTCAAGGTACTGCAGTGGATGTAGGAGTTTTTTTTTCTATAATATAAATGAACTTTTCATATAGAGCTCTTATAAAGTGGTTGGAGCATGACTAAATTCCAGTTCGCAAGGTGTTCAGCTGAGAGTTACAAGAACCAAATTGGTTTTAAAAATTTGTCAACTGAAACATCCATGGGTGTGGAGGAGGTGCTGGTGCAGTTCATCCTGGAAGCATGTGACAGGCCATGACAGAGCTTAATCAACAACCAATAGTCAGTGTTTGTGGGTGTCAGTTATTGTTACATGTTTAGCAGAGTATTGCTTTGTGTTTGTATGTATTATCCCCCTACCCTCACACCAAACAAGGAACCCTTCCTGTCAGGATGGGGCTTAAATAGATTTCTGTTTTGAAGCAGTTCCTGACAGATTCTACAGAAACAGTGAAACAAACTTAATTTTATCTTTAAACATTAAAAAGAAAAGAGCTTTAAGATTAGTCATGTATCAGTATATTGCTCTATAAAACAACTCTATGAATTTGGTTATATGAATTGAAATGTCTTATTGCTGAAGGTGTTTTGTAGAGTAGAAAAAAAGTTTCTACTTAGCAAAACTTCATTCAAAACTTACAAGCAAGAATGTCTATTGTGACTTCCCTGAGCCTGTTGTGAGTGCTGTGTGTGTAACAGAGCAAATATGTCAGACCTAGTAAGTGTTCAATAAATTGTCAGTGTTACTACCATTGGTTGTTTTTCTGCTGTGTTCTTTATACTTCAGAATTTGCTTTACACAAAATCTCTCCCCTACTAGGTCTACCTAGACTACTGTGGACAGGAATATAAAGCATATATATATATGTATATATATATTTAAGATTTTTAGATAGTTCAGAATTTGATATTTGATATGGTTACAAGTGTATTTAAAATAAGAAAAAAAACTACGTTGATGTTGAATAGTTTTCTCTGGGTGGTGGGATTAAATGGCAACTTCTCCTCTTGTCTATTATTTACCTACAAACAATGCGTTTTCATCAACTGTTTTGTAGCCTTCAAGGACCTGGTTTACTATCATCTTTACCCCTTCATGAACTGGAGTTAAGGTTCCTTCTCCTCATCTATAACCCTTTCTCATCAATGTGTGGTTTGCAGTTCATACAGTCTTGTGAAACTCTGGCAAATGATTTGTAATTGGGTACTTGCAGTTTTGAAGTAAGGGAGTTTTTAAATTTGAATCTTGACAAACTATTTCCCCAAGTGTTTGTTTCCCCATCTGCAAGATAAGAATAATGCGTAGCTTATGTGATTGTTGTAAGAATCAAAGGCGATAATGAATTTAAGTGCTGAGCTACGCAGGGGTCAATAAATAGAAGCTGTTGTGTGAAAATTTTCAGATAGATCTCGTGGCTAAAAGGGAGTGGGCCTTTGCTTGAGTTTGGTAGGCTTTAGATTCTTCAGTTTTGTCAAAGGAAGCCCAACCAGACATATCTGCCAGTTCATGAGCTGTGGCTGACAGATATGAAATCACAAATACCAGATGGGTGCATGCATGTGTGTAAGTCTGTGCATGTGTCTGTACTCCAAGAATTCATGTTCCTTTTTCACTATTTTTACCTACAACTATTATTTAACTTGTTGAGTCCCCCGCCCACACAAAAAAGGTTTTAAGGCATTGCATCTTACCAGTCCTTTTGTTTATACAGAAGTAAACAATCTTGAAGGTGAGACTGTCTCAGTTACAAATTTCATGTTCAAACTGCATTTCTGTAATTTTGGTTTGATATATCATTTCAAGTTTCAAGCAAGTAAGTGAATATTATGTGCTTTAGAAAACAGTGATATCTGTTTTATATCTAATATCTCAGTTCCCCCTTACTTTATGCAGTATGTTAACTCTTGTGAATGAGTCCACTTTTTAGTCATTTATGAATAAGAATATGTAGCGAGTTGTTAAAGCTACACCAATGACAAGCTGTACAGCTTAGTTTGAGTAGAAATATTTGGAGACATTTGAGCGAGATTGCATTCCCATAATTGTTAGCTAAACTTAAGAATCCAGGTGTTTTCCGTTTTTGAAATTTCAACAGAAATTTCAAACAGGATTTGGTTTACAAATATGTTTTTAAAAGTGTTAACTGGGAGCTGGAGTTTCGAGAACTAAAGTTCTACAATCCTCCACTCTTCTTTTGCGCAGTGCTTAAACTTTCCTTTCTGATTTTTCCTAACTGCTAGTTTTATGTAGAGACCTGCAAGTCACAGGGAGGAGGGGTGCAAAGATAGACTTTTACAACGGAGAGGATTTACTTTTGTGCGTTCTCGTTATTCATTTGTCCTTAATAAAGGTCAACTAGTTAACTGTTTTGAAAAAACTTATATTAAAACTTTTAGGACCAGAAAGGGTCTCACGAAAGTAATTTCTAGGCTTTTGGTCACTTTCCTAAGAGCGTGCGCCCGCGCAGGCGCTCTGCTTCACCCTCCGCCCCACCCCTCGCCCAAGTCCGCATATTGATGACATCATCGGCCCGCCTCCACACTCGGCCTCCGGGCCGACGGAGGAGCCAAGACCTGGCTTCGGCGTCGCAGAAAGGGGGCGGGGCCACCTCGTGCCACTACGCGTGCGCGCCGGGAATGGCGACGGCGCTTCTTTCTTTGCCGCTCTCCCCAGCTTTCCCCGGCCGGGGGGGCTGAGTGCCCTCCCCCTTTCCTCTCCGCCCCTCCCCTCGCCCCCCCACCCGCCCAGCGGGGCTTCTAACTGACAGTTGTCGCCGGCCCGGTCAGTGCGCCGCCTCCTCCTGCCCAGGTCCCCCGCAGGTAGACAGGGTCGGGAGGGGGTGTGAGGGAGAAGGAGGAGCCGGAGCCGCGGCGGCCCGGTGCTGCGGCCCGCTCGGGAAGGAGTAGCGCCCTCTTCCTCCTCGCCCCCTCCCAGCGCCCCGTCGGCCCGGGAGGGGGTGGGGCGCCGAGGCCCCGGCGGCCCGGCCGGTGAGCGGGCGGGCGGAGGGTGAAGCCGGCGCGGGCCTCGCGCCGCCGCCGCGGGGAGGGGAGAGGAGGGCACCTAGGCTCTCCTCTCCCCCCCTCCCCCGCGCGCCATGTAACCCCGCCCCGCGGGCGCGAGCCTGAGACCCCCGCGCGCGCGGGTCCCGGCCGGCGACTGGAAAGCAAGGCCCGATGCGGCAGGGGCTGCGCGGCGGCGCCTCGGCTCCCTGAGGAGGCGGCCGGCGCTCACGCGTCTCCCGGCGCCTCGAGCGGTCGTTCCTCACCGCCCAGCCTGGGCCTGCCGGGCGATATGAGCGAACAGGGGACGCCGGGGGAGATGGAGCGGGACGCGGAGGAGGAGCGGCCGCCACCGACGACCCGGGAAGGGAACGAGAAGGAGGAGGTGGTGGTGGCAGCGGCGGCCCGGTCCTCGGAGCTGGTCCGCAGGAGGAGTGCCTCCTCGTTGGACGACGACGACGACGAGGAGGAGGAGGTGGCGGTGGTCGCGGGCGGTGGCTGCAGGGAACAGGACCTGACCTACGAGCTGCAGCAGGGCTACCGCATCCTGGGCGAGTTCCTGCAGGAGAAGCACCGCGGCCTCACCGCCCCTTTCCTGCAGCCCTTGGGGGGCGTTGCCGCCGGGGAAGAAGAGGTGGCCGAAGGGCGGCGCGCCGGGGGCCGGGGCGGTCGCGTCGTCCCGCCGCAGCCGGGCCAGGGCATGTGTCTGTTGAAGATGGAGGAGAAGTTCTCCAGCGGCCAGTACAGGGGCATCACCGAGTTTGTGGCGGACTTCAGGTTGATGCTGGAGACGTGCTACCGTCTGCACGGAGTCGACCACTGGATCTCCAAACAGGGCCAGAAGCTGGAGATGTTGCTGGAGCAGAAGTTGGCCCTTCTCTCTCGGTAAGCGAGCCGGGTCCCCAGTGGGACTGACAGACAGACACAAACACACCCGCACACGTGTCCGAGGAGGGGCTGGGCCAGGGCCTGGGGGGCGGCGCTGATAGGTGCTGAGTTGGTGCTGGCACCTCGGGAGGAGGAGCAGCGCTGGGCGCGGAACCGGAGGGGTATGAGGGGCATGGCTCGAAGGGCGAGTGCTTCCACGGAGAAGCCCAGAACTCCCGAGGACATTAGAGAGGTTCCAGAAGTTAAGAGTCGCACGAGTAGGCAGAAGGGAAAGCCTTTTGTAGGATGGAAGTTGAACCCGCAACTTGTAGACATTTTTAGCATGGCGTCTAAAACAGCATGTAGGGCGAAAAACCTTTAGAAAGCAATCTTGGCTCGTGTAGAAAGATGATCGCTTAAAATTTTTATCTTCTACCAGTTTCAGCCATTGGAAATTTAGTGTTATTAGGTGTGTGTTTCATCTGAGGAAGTTAAATTTTTGCAGTGACACGACATGAATGCATCAACACAACATCTTTCATAGGTGTAGACTTGTACCGTGTGTGTGTGTCTGTCTGTCTTTTCTTCCAGTGCTAGATACAACAAAGGGTTTCAAACATACCAGACAAGCAATCTACCACGGAATTAAGTATAGAGCCTTAGAAATTTTTTATTCTACTAGGAATTATAGGTAGTTCAAATTGTACCGTCGTTTTGATATACATCACCTATATCCTCTTCTTCCCCCTTTTAGGAAGATAAAATAAGTTAACATAGGACACTAAAATTGAACAATCTCTATATACTGGACGTGAGCTCTGTTAATTAAAAATTTTCAGTAATAGAAACGTCTTTAAATATTAGTATTAATAAAGGTGGAATAATATATTGCCAAGATTTTTTACTTTCTGTGTGTGAGAGAGTGTGTATATGCGCTTGCGTGTGTGGGAGCATGATCAGGAAGTGGAAGCTAGGAGCAAATGTCTGGTGTGTGCTGCTACTCTCCACCTTTTTCCCGTGTGGCGTGGCTCCTCCCTAAATGTGAGACTTGCATTTTCTTAGGGATTGGAAGCCAGCAATACCCAGCTAGCCTCCTGTCTTCATCTCCTGTGGAGCTGGGCTTATGGGCTTGTTCTGTGGTAATGGGATCTGAATGAATCGAATGGATCGTCTTGATTGGGTGTCAAGGGTTGGTTAACTACTGAACCATCTATCTCTCTAGTCCTCAGAATAGGAGTTTGGCTATTTATTAGCTGAATGAACTTGACTGATTTGACTTTTTTGGCCTATTTCCTTGCCTGTAAAATGGGAACAGTATCATCTCATCTACTTCAAAAAATTGCTATGAGAACTAAATGGTTCTTTTAAAAACAAAGTCAATACCGTTGGATATGTAACTCAATGTATTGATCACAGTGGTGCAGTAAAATGAATATTATCTCAAATCTGGACCTGGGCATTGCATATATGTAAAATAATCTGTTCTTCATTTGTCTTTGGCTGCTCATATACTAATTTCAAATCTGTTGCTGACTAATTTCATTAAAAGAGTAATATAGTGAGTGCTTAAGTCACTAGAAGGCAAATTCCCTTTAAACAAACTAAAGATGTTTTTGCATTCTTCAATAAAATAGAATTATTTGGTACTAGGTTAACTATTTGCAAATAGCTATAGATTATTTTTAATATGTTTATTTGGTGATGGATATTTCTTACTGTGTTTGTAGCTTACCTTTACAGGGCATTGTGGTGTGGCGGAGATGGTACATACAAAAAGCCAGTTGTTCACATGTCATCATTTTATAAAGAAAGCTTTTTAAAAGATTTTATTTTTAAGTGTGTATGTGTGGGTGTGTATGCGCGCGTGTGCCCACATGTAGTGGGG